TTTATTCTTACACTACTGTAAGTACTATTTAAGATTTCATGGATTTCACTCTATACCAGAAAAGGCCATAGAATTCTGCAGAATTATGCAGGATTTCCTCTCATGGGAAATTGCTCTTGCAGTACCCTGCAGAATATTATTTCAGGTTAAGAAGCTTATATTTCTAGTGCAAGAGGAAGGGCTGTTCAGTGAATTGACAATGTCAGAAAACAACACTTATGAAAATAATCTAAAGGATTCTAAAGTCCAAATGCTCAACTGAATCCTATTGGTCATCTAAAGGTTATTTTAATACATTAAGCAAACTACTATGAAACAGAACAGAGCATCAACCCCCTTTCTCTATGCTGTATATTACTTTGGTAAATTGGAAAGACCATTAAGCAGATGGATAATACTGTAATAGTTCGGGTGAATTAAGTAAATGTTCCTCAGGAACCACGCATGTGGTAGTCATGTAAGATAAGAAGACGGAGGAAGCTTTGTCATTGTGGGCAAGAACATATACTGTACATTACTTTGCGAAATTGTGAAAAAAATCTTGTCTACAAACAAAATGGAGGAGAGCACAAGAATGGTCATTTTCCTTCATAATAATGCCTAGATTTATTTAGATATCTGCATCCCTGCACACATAACTGTCTTCCTCTTTTATGATATACAGACATTAATGACACATTGCCAATGTGTTGGCAATCTAATGTGTCTTTCTTTTACTGAGAAAGCTATACAGTTAGAGGTACAGTAGGTTGTCCGTATTCTCTGATAAATCAACCCCAGGTACTTATTTTCAGTTTATTTCTAATTATTGTTTGGAATAATATGAAAGAGAAACAGAAGATAACATGGGAGGTCCTTTTCATTTTGATCTCCAAGTTACGAATGTCTTTGCAGCACTTGACAGCTTGCTCCTCTTTAAAAATGTATTGCTCACATAGTGGACAAAGTTATCTCCTAAATATGATGGAAGGCAAATGTGATCTTAATTCTAGAAAGCCTTGTTTATACTTATTTATACTTTTGAACTACTGCTTATACTGTATTGTGGTAAAGGCAGAATTTAATTAACTTCATTACAATGATAAAAAAGTAAATACATTTTCACGTATTTTATATATACAGCACAAATTATATTATATTATATTATATTATATTATATTATATTATATTTGACTTCAATTTGGATATCACTATATGTAACACAATAACAGATTTGTTTGTCCATTTAGAGATGTGCAGATATTAATTTAATTTAACTGAAAAAAATGTTCTCTTACCAATCTTGATTTCTCCAAAACTTTGAAAGCTGATGCATACAGTTTGTATTCTTTACACAACAAAACTAATCAGAACTTTAAACAAAAGCATATATTGCATATACTGTACTGTATGTTGTATGCAAGTTGTAAGTGTTCATTCCAGACAACATTTATTTTATGACTTAATAGAATTCCTCTCTTTAGTCATCATCTGACAATGCCTTCCTGTTTAGTGCATTGTGATCTTCACTCTCTTAACAATATCAGGAGTCTCAATCCAGGGTCATTTTTATGTGACTTCTTTGGTCGTGCTCTCAAAGGTACCTATGGATATGGCTTACTAGTCATTATACTGTAGGTGAACTGTACTCAGAGAAAACCTAATATTAACAGTAAACACACAGAGCTACAAAGAGCTGTATGAGATACAGTAACCAAGGCATTCCATTCCATAGCATTTTAATAAATAGATCTCCAATTTTTCCCAGAAACTAATAATAATGGTAAAAGTATATTAACTCCAATGTATCCCCCAAAACCTATTCAGGTACAAAACTGAGATAAATACGCAGTTCTATATGTAAGGAGTCAATTCATTTAATATGTGAAAGAATCATTCTTTCAACATTTCTTGAAAACTCAATATTTTACAAAAAAGTCTTATTTAGTTTATTAGTCTTATTTAGTACTAAACAATTTTATACTAAACAAAGGGTGACATGTTTGTGAATAGAGGAATTATTTTTAAAACAAAAAACAGAGACATGGGTTTCCTAGTATAACAGGTTTAAGTCCTGATTAATTCACTTATTTTTTCATTATTACAGAATTTCTGCATCAAAACCAGATATAACATAAATTGTTAAGTTTTGTTAACTATGTATAATGTGTAAAGGCTTTAAATACAACATTCAGTAGTCAGGATGACTTTTTCCTGCAGTCTTAAATGCCTACGCCTAACTAGTTCAGTGATATGTCCCCAGTGGATTTTGTCAAATCTGCTGTAAACGGGTTTAATCATAAGATTACTCTTCTTCTGATTAAGCAGAACTCTAATTGTTTTAATCCACGACTGAACTTTGATGAATTCTAATTTGGAACACTTTATTTGGTGACTGAAATCTGTGTCATTATAGATCAAGTTATTCTTGCTTACTCAAGAACATCTTTTTTTTCTTGACAAAATTAACAGGAAATGAAACGACCAGGCAATGGAAATTAGAAAGGAGTCTACATTCTAATTTTGTAGATATGGTGTGGTTTCACTGGTATTTTGTGTGATAAACCCCAGTGATTCTGTAGAATCATCTAAACATACAGTACCAGAATTTAAAAGGGAAGTGTTCTGAAAAGAAATATAATGTAATCTACAGTATGTAGTCTGGATCATTTCTCTTGGACACGCATTCAGTATTTTTGAAATCATAGAAGCAAGATAAGAGCAAGCAAATCACAGCTGCAACCTTTACAAAAACAAACAATTAAAAATACATCCTTTGGGAGTTCAATTCAAAGGACCTGCTATACCTTATATACACATACAGCCTTAGTTTTATCATCTAAAAAACACAAATGCTTTTTGGATTTTCTAAATTAAAAATATTGTTTATTTTTTATTATCATGGTTTTCTTTCCATTAGGAATGAATGGGGTAGGTGATATAAATTAGTAACTTTTAGCCTCTACCATCCACTAAGCTATTTTTCCATGACAGTAAACTGTATAGTATACTTTGTTAAGGAGCTGGCACTTTTTTCACATTGTGTATGTGTTGCCTCTGGTGTGAATAGCAAATACTGCTCTGAATTTATCATTTCATCATATAAAATCACATCACATTTGGTGTGTACAAGCCCTAACTTGCAAGAATGCCCGCTGTTGTGCTTTTAAGACGTAGTCTGTGATGTTTAAATGGGTCAGTGTCATCATAAGAATAAGACTGTGCTAAATAATGATTACTCAGAGCCCTACCACTCCTACAACCTAGAGATGAGGTTTCTCAGGCCACCTTGTACATTTCCCTCTGCCCTGTTGCATCTCCCAAACAATTGCTCGCCAGTACTGTTCAACCTACCTTGAAACACCAAACCCTGCCTGAGAACACCTTTCAGACTTTTTAAAAAAATATTTCAACATCTAAAGAGGAAAAAAAAAATGCAGCAACACAAGTACTAGGCATCATAGTTTCAAAAGCTATACATTTACTTTTTTACTTATTTGGCACTTCCTTCTGCCAAACATTTTTTAAATCAGTGAGCTGCTTATTTTAAAAGAAATTCTTGGCAGCATTAAGAATGACTTCCAGTAAAATCAAAGCCTAATGACACAGTTGATCTTATTTGTAGATCATTTAGAATACAGAGGTGAAAAAGTAAAGTAGAAATGGGTTCTGTCTGGTTTGCACTTATGACTCCTCAAGATGTAATAGCTGAACTATCTTCATCCCACGCTCCTTACAGTGTAATGTGTTTTTTGTTATCTGCTTAGACAGTCATAAATCAGCAGCTAATTAGCACAAATGACATGACCTGATGCATTTAATGCTACCTTTTGTACCTTCCATCAGATATCCCACTGCAATACGAGCTGGCCTCTAAATTAAAATAAGATATATAGTTGAAAGGAAGTACTTTAATTAAGGAACTTGCCTACTGTACAGTTCTATAAATCATTAAAGGAAATTTTCCTTGACTAGCAAAGAAGGCAATGTAAAAGGCAAATTTCACCCATAAGGGTTATTAAGTTTTTGCACTAATAAGAATGTATTACAATAACTAGATGAACTTAATAGCAGTACCTCTAGTGAACTTATTGCCCAGGGAAATTCCTCTGAAAGCAAGGCCCATAATGAGTCTTATGAATAGCATAAAGGCAAAAAGGGATAAAAGACCTAATGTTTAGGTCCCCTGCCTTAGGTCTTTCATAAATTTAGTCCATTGTTTGCAGCTGTCTGACATAAGAGATTTCCTAGTTCCTGTTCAGTTAAAAGCTCCTTTATTATTGAATTAAGCATAAAATATAAAACACAAGTTTATAAAGTAAAGTAAATGTACAACAACTCAACTCAACAACAACTCTGTCTTGTTTTGTTTTGATAACAGCACATCCAGACTTGTATGTTTCAATTTTAAAACATACATTGAGAAACACTTCATCTGGGACCTTGGTAGATACGAGATGGCAGTTTAAATGAAGCCACTCTACAATTTCCTAAAATAAATAAATTCATAAAACAATATGTGCATTAGATAGTTAATTATGGCACAAAAATTCTTTACTTTCTTCACATTCCTGTTTTCACACATATTACATCTATTACAAACATTGGTAATAGTGTGCTCATCTTACCGTATATACTGTATGTAGAAGCCACTGCATCAAATAGAAATATCCTGTGTTCTGCAACTTATTATGTGAATGAAATAACTCAATTTCACTGACATCATCTTAAGTAATACTGGCTTTCAAAATACCCCAATTAAATACAAATCTTTACATTTTTTAATCGGAGAGAACAATTGTAATTTATTGAAATAATTTTAATATTGTTTCATTCAAATATATTCTAGGTAAATAGAACATTTTTTAATTAAGATAAAATAAAAATCTCGGACTAAGAGGACAGTGAATGCATCTTTAGCAAAATTGAAATTATTCTCAAAGCTGGACAACAGAAAGATTAAGAACTGAAATAACAATATTGTTAAAAACATAAGCAGAAATATTCCATAAATGTCCTACCTTCCTTGGACCTTTATGTCAGATATGGCGTAGAAGTATCTTGACAAGTTATGTTCATCGACCACTGTTGCTCCTGTAGCTGGTCTCAGAAGTCTTATCCTGAGGTCAGTGATGGTGAAGAAGTCCCTTAAGTTTTTGGTCGTGTCCAGCTGTCCATAAAGAGAAGCCACATTGTGCAGCCGAGGTCCTGCAAAAAGGGCGAATCGGTCTTTGATCTCAAAACGAACCGTTTTGTCATTTTTCCATACATATCCCCTGGAATATTCTTCTGTACAAATGATGTCCAACAGTGTGCCTTGGGTCAGATCATGGACAGTTTTGGGTTCCATTTTGAAAGCTTCCAAGCAGTCTGTGGCATAGAACTGATATGGCTGCCAAGATCGACCATAGTCTAGTGACTTCTCAAGGATCATGAGTTCTGGGCGACCAGACTCAAATGTTATTACAATGTCATCTGTGAGCTCTATAGTCTTGTTCCAAGATAGAGTGATGTTGACCAACAGTGGCTTTGGATACTTCTTCCAGGATGTTGACTGCCAAAATGTAGTTGGGTTTCGACCTTCAAAATCAAACATCAATTCAGGAGGGTGTGCCAGCTCTTCAGTGCTAGCATCACATTCATTATTGCACATATAAGGATTTTCCTGGAATAAAAAAAGACAGAAATAAGACAAATAATGAAGAGGGTCATTATGTACTTTCTTGCTACGAGATTTACAGCTTTGTGTAGAAAAAAAAGTATGGTTTAGTTCACAAGAGGATTGCAGAGGGTTATAAGTGTTTCCGTATATACAATAGTATAGGGTTGTAGGACATATTTTTGATATATAATTGCAATTACAATTTAATGTATCTAGTATTGTTGCGCCAAATGTACAGGGAGTAGAACCTAGATGAGAGAGTGTTATAAACGTCTAGACTAGCATCTATTTGTTATGTAGCTACAGTATTTCCACGAAACATCACTCAGCCACTTACAAGAACACCTACATGCATAAGATTTTGCTCTTCTTAATGAAGACACACATTTTCACATATTCCTGGGTCATGTCTGGGTTAATTTTTCAATAATTAAATTTTACCTAAATCTAATTATTATTACTAACCTTGATTTATCTGCTTTCTGCTTATCTGCTGTTGTAGTTTGCAGCTGAAAATCTCTATGAATTATTCAAGCAATAAGCTACATTTTTCCATAATTGTATCCTTGACTACAACATCTATATAACGTAGACAGACTTCCCTTGGCTAAGTCTTTTATGTAACCTTCATAATATCTCATAGACTACATAATCTGTTCTGTGCAGCATTCATAGCCATTTATGATAACTCTTCCAAAAGACATGACATAGATTTTGATGATGAATCCTAACTCGAATTTTCCCCATTCCAAAGTCTATTCCTTACCCTGATCCACAGCTCAAAATGTAAAATACACTGTGATGCACTTTGACAAACATAAGGAACATTTGTGTTTCTGTTATGAATGTTAGAACATCTTACGTGGCCTCCACGAAGACATTATGTATGTTACATAAAGCCTAACTGAAATTAACTCTGACCCCGGTGACTTAGTATTGTGAAAACAGTTCAAAAAGAATAGCCATCAAACAACTCTATACAAGCTTTCTGAGAACACTGTGCTAGAAATACAAACCTTTTTGTTTTCTTTACAAAGTGCAGGGAAAAGCTAACAAGTGCTATAAACTTTCTGGCCTTGATGTTCTTCAATCTATCAAGTCTAACAGCGTCCTCACTTAGAAATGTCCCCTTTAAAACATTTGTACTGTTTGCCACAAATCATTACACCACAATGTACTACAATCTCTGGGGCTTGATCCAGACATCTGCTGTCCTATTAGCTTCAGGCTAGGGAAGTACTTCAGGAAAGACTTTTCACAAGATACTAGCTCCAATTTATCGGGACAAGATAATCCGCCACTTGATTAGGTAGGAGATGTCAGCAGCTTTGTCTGGAACACTGCCGAGGTGATTGGAGTCCTGAGCTGTAATTCAGAAAGGTAGAAGGAAAAAATGTTTCCTATAATAAGCTTTTACTTTTTCCTGTCCTCCAAGGCAAGGTGAAAATGAAGCCTAAAACTGAAAGGCATTTAGCCATCTATCACATTGTGAGTCACATTACTCTTCTGATTTGTGGATCCCCCATAGTCTATTTAAGACAGGAAAGTGGCTTAGAGAATAAGTGCACCCGCAAATAGTGCATTTTTCGGAGTGCTCTTACTTTTTCGTTACAGTTTGGATTTTAATAAGTGTTACCTTCTCACCCTCTCATTGGATTTCCAGTACACTTTCCTAAAACACACATTATCATGCTCTTCACAGTAAGATTCTTTTGATAATTAATACGAAAATTGGTTTTAAATAGTAACATAATTTAGCTTTGGTGTCAGCTAATCATTCATAATGACCAAAGCTTATATTAGAAATAGATTAATAATTCAATATTACAAACAGGTCTCAACATTTTCGAAACATCAGACTGTATTGTGCCCGAGGTTAGAAATAAAGGAAGTAAAAAATAATTGCATTTCTAATTTATTATAGTTATAAACCACCGACCACACGTTGAACACAGATAACAACATTAACAACTGAAAGCACAAATATTTATTTTTTTGTCCTGGAACAAAAACTTCAAAACTTTGACCTTAGTTCAATGAAGGTTTCTCCCAGATCAATCAACTTAACACACGCCCCTTCAAACCCTGAAGAATAATTCAAAGAGTGTTGAGTTGTGACTAGTCTCTTTGCATTTATTTTAGCTGTGCTATACAGTAGGTATTGTAAGGATAATGCTGTACAGTACCTATGGCAAAACTTTTTGAAGGAATTTTAAGAAACATTCTCAGAAGTAATGATTGCAGTATTTTCTTAAACATTCTGGCCAACATCAGATATTTCCTCACTGTGCTGAAAAAAGTGAGGAGTGGTTCTTTTAAAAACTTGTATTATGCTATATATGATATCAGGTAATTACCACTGAAATACACACTTTTTAACTAGACATGAATGTATCTCTATTGATTTCTTCAGGCAGGCACAGAATTACACGGTCTAATACTGAGAAGCCTTAGTGGATATATACTAACATAAAGGTTAGAACCTTTCATTAGAGCCTACTCTGGTACTGATTTAACAACAAAATACTGCCTTATGAAGATCAATACCCTTGCTGGTCATTTCAAACCGGAGGCTTGAGAAAAGCACTGAAGATCGCCATTGAAAATCAATGGGAATGTTCCGTTTTATTTTACGACACTGAGTGCTCTGTTAGGGGATTAATGGTTTGGAGCACATTAAAATAACTGACATCACTACTGCTGTAGACCAGATCTGTAATTATAGAAGCTGTTTCTATTAATCCTAATCTGATCTACACAGACAAGAAATCAGAGGAAGCCATGTATATTAGAGTTGGTGGAACCATTTAAGCATAAAGGTCAAATTAAATTGCACCTAATGATGTCTTTCCACAAAAACATCCGAGGTTAATCCAATATTGTGTGTCATTGATGAAGTGAAAAGTAGAAGGAATTTGAGTAGAATATTCCTCAGGAAACTAGTGAACTGCACTAATCCAGCAGTTGTTATCCCCATTAAAAGTGTTCCAGGTAATTTCAACTGCTGAACATTAAAATCACATAACAAATTACAACAGTCCCTCCTTTGCACAATATCATTTTTTGGTAATTTTTGTTTTGTTGGAGAATATGGCTTTTTGATGGTTAATTTAGCACAGCTTTACAAATACAAATGATCACAAATAATGACAATAACCCGATCTGTAGTTTCAGGAAGAGACGATGCCCTTAATTTATTATTGCTATCAATTGTAGAGCTTATTTACAATACTGAGCACAATCTTGAGTTAATTCAATAAAGATCTATGGTACGTTGAAGGAAGAACAAAGAAAATCTTTACTAAAATGTTGAAAATAAGAAACCCTTTCGATCTACAGCTGATATTTCAGAGTTTTAAATGTGAAGAAGATATGGCTTTTCAGGCTGGCAGTTTTTTGCCTCAGGATTACGTGATCACTGATAGAAGATGTGACTGGGGAATATAAATTTACTGTCCACTGACAGGAGTGGCTGACATATAGGTCTAACCAATCAAACAAATCCTTTTGTGTGACAGATGTTTCTGACTTGAAACCTAGATCATGGATTGCTCTCTCTTTCTTTCTCCTCACGGGAATGTGATCAACAGAAAAAAAAAAACATATTTACAGAAATGTTATTTCTATGTAACTCTGAATCATTATTTTTATTTTAACCTTAATGACCTGGACAAATCTGTAGTTACCACTGATTTTCAGAAAAACATTAAAATGTAATGAAAAGCTTTTGTAAAGATCCTGATATATACAGTACAAACCAACCAAAAAGTGTAAAAGAAAAATGCTTGAATTGTTATTTCTAACATTTAACACTAGAAATACAGCATATTGTTCTAAATTACTTTAATATATATAGCATGTTACATTTATGGAAAGAGATAAGCAAAATTGTAAGATATGTAACGAAATCCTAGCATTTTTAAATATTATATTTCTGACTTCATAATTATGTTGCATGCATAAGTCACCCTTGTAATTTATTTGCAAAGATTATCTGATATCATTTTAATAGAAAACAGCTTCCCCTGCTACATATACTCTATTTGTCAAGAAACATACTGTAGATAGGTAAGAACAGGAAAGACTGCCAGAAACACCACTGTATTATTGTAAGCATTATCACCCAGTTCTTTGAAAGTTTAAAAGAACAAAAGGAACCTTTTTTTTCTCAGGCAGTCAGGTGTGGGTTAATCTTATTGCTTCTGCTCAAATAAGACCTTGTCTGCTAAGAAAGATTTTTCCCTGGTGTAGGATGTGATTGAAGCTGTTGCTAGTTTCAATCTCTCTTCCTGCACATGCTAACACCTTGTGGACTTTTTTTTCACTCAGCAACAAAGACAGAAGGGCTTAACCTCACTGCAGCGTGAATATTGGAAGCTGTATCACAGATTACAGGCAGTAATAGACACCTGGGTAAATCCCATAGAGGATTATAGTTAGGATTTCAAACTGGTTTAGGCCAAGGAGTTCACCAGGTCCACATCCTGAAAAAGTGCAAAACAAGTTCTTACAGACCCTTTTCAGATAGTGACTTCTATAGGGCTGTCACAGCCACAGTTATCTTGGAGATATTGAACATGATTATAGTCTAGATAAGCTGGAAACTGAGATGGCTTAAGGTGAGCTGATGAAATATTGTGGGTGTTGGCAGTTCAGCAGAAATTCAATAGTGCTTTAATGGCACTTATGTATAGAGGTGTTTTACAGCAGTGCAGGGCATCCCAGTGACCTCAGGAATTATGATTCAGGACGATGTATAAATTCAAGCTATAACTGCCATAAAACCACTGATATATGATTTGTGGGATGCATGAATCCTAAAAACAGTTTTGGGACAAGGAAATCATCTCACTCTGCTTGTAAAAAGGAAATGTTATGATATTATATTACACTTTAAACACAATTGAAGGCTCTGCTGAGTAAAATGTTAATAGATCTGGATTTGAAATCCAGCAGCAGCCCCTACAGAAGACATTTCAGATTTAGAGCTATAACATAGTGAA